TTTTTTTCCGACTGCTTATTTAATGCGTTGATTAAAATATAAACCTTGAATCCGAATAAGTAAATGATTTTCCTCATTTAAAAGTATTAAAAAAATGAAAAAATTAAAACTGAATTTTTTTTATTTTATTCTTTTACTTTCATTTTGCTTGAAAATTTCACAAAGCAATTATGTGATCCCATAAACCATTAATAAACATGTTACATAAAAAAGAATTTGTAAAGAGGACCTGCCTCTCTCTCTCTGTCCCTCAGGCTTTTGTCAGTTATTCTCCCAGTAAAGAGGGGTGATTATCTATCCCCTCCTCAGTTCTCGAGAAAAAAGAATAGCAGTTTGAAAGATAAGTTTCCAAGAAAATCAAGATGTGTTTGAGGGGAAAGGATTTCTATGGGTCTTCGAAAAGTCTTCAATTTCAACCATGTCTAATCGCATCCGGACTCTAGTTTAACAATGTATGAGCAAAGTTAGGAGTAGTGCAGTGAAACTACAATTACATAGAATTTACAATATATTTTACTAAATTTTGTTACTAATTCTTAAAAATAAATAAATAAAAAGTCAACTACAAAAATTTTTATTAGGCATTTGTAAATGAATTTTTGACATTTTTTAGAAAAAAAAATGTGACCAGACTATTTTCCCGACGAGACTTTAAATTTTTCCCGATGGGGGGGCTGGCCATGCCCGACGGGGGTGCTCCAGCCCCCCCTGACCCCCTACTGGCGCCGCCCTTGGTTCACGCATGACTTCTTGAGAAAAAGTAGAAGGCAATAGCGATACGGGTGCTGCAATTTTCCCCTCGGACAATTATTGTTCTTAATCCGAGAAGTAGGAGGATGCAGAGTGTATGTAATTCCAAATCGGGAGACACATATTAGAAAAAAACACAATGAACAGCTCTCGAAAAAGCAATATGATATTCCTCTAACTCACGTCCTATAGCCTGGAAACTCGTATATAGCGTTATTTATTTATTATTATCATTTTCTGCGCTACCGCAATGGATATTTTTTTTTTTTTTTTTTTTTNTTTTTTTTTTTTTTTTTTTTTTTTTTTTTTTTGATTGACACTAACTTCCTAAACTTTTTTTTTAAACCGTTAATATTCGTTTCTGAAAGCTTTGCTGTTACGTAAATACGGTTAATCAAAAATTAGAAAACCTTTAAATTTTGTATTCACGACGAAACATATTTGCTACAATTCAATACATTTGAATTCAACCAAAAAAGAAATAAATTTATTTCTTTTTTGATGGTTTAAACCATCAAAAATGTATTTTACAAGTTTCCTGGCAACTGGGGATCTAATCAATGCTTCTGACATATACTGAAGAAATTCAAATATCTGCTGAGAATCACACAATTGCTTCCGCTAGATTTCTGATAAATAGTTAGATATAGGGAGATAACTGCATGAATTAGAAATAACTTAGAGATATTTGGGGGATGGTTGTGCTTGTATGGGATTGTTCAGTTTCAGAAACATTGTAAGTGTCATTACACATTATTGAGAAACAATTAGCTAGCAGCCGATTTTTTTCTTGACTCATCTCTCCACTCACATTAACGATTTGGTTTAGAATTTCTTGGGGGCGTGTTAAGTATCATTTTCGTTCCTGTTCAGAAGATGTTTTAAACCATTATCACCAACCTTATCTTAGCAATGTTCAAAATTTACCATCCTTGATTTTTAATGACAAAGAGCCGTTCTTACGATGTCTTTGAAAAGATAGTTATATGGAACCACAGAATGTCACGTTTTCCGTTTTTCTTTCATCAATTTTTACTGCATTCTTGTTTTTGGAAGAGCAGAGTGCAAGAAAAAAAAAACGGTCACCCTGATTAACTTTTGATCGGATCTTCATGTTCAATCTTAATGGCTCGAGGGGGTGACTTAAAATATGATAATTAATAAGTGCAGACGATATTTTAAGTTACGAAATCAGACACAAAAACGTACCTTCTTTTCTTCCACAGATTCAAAATTTTGATTCTCAAAATATAGGGGTAGCCGAAATCTGGGAAATATGGCCCGAATTGTTTGGTCAAGAGAGCGCTCCAAAGTTAGGACCCCTTAATTTTACTTCGTGCGTAGTTCACTATATCTCAAGTTTTTAAGCGAATTGAAAAATTTTTGCACGCAATTATGAAAGTCGCTTATTCATGTAAAAAAAAAAAAAAAAAACTTTTAGTAAATATTTATTATTTTTTTATAATTTTAATTAAGAATGGTGGAAAACATTTTGAAATGTAAGGTATACAATTTCTTGCATTATTTGAAAGAATATAATTTGAAAAAACAAAGAACATGAGAAAAAACAAAGTTAGAGAGAAATCGGTTGAATAGTTCATGAGAAATTGAATTTCAAGAAAGTCAGACATTTAAAATTCGATTTCTCAAGAACTATTCAACCGATTTTGCTCAAATTTTGTATTTTGATATGTAAAATTAGACATTCGCAAAATTACAAATTGTATACCTTACAATTAAAAATTTTTCGACTGTTATTTAATAAATAAAAATAATAAATATTTACTAAAATTTATTTTTTGAATAGAATTATCTTTGGATAAACGAATTTTATAACTGTGTGCAAGAAATTTTCAATTCACTCAAAAAGTTCTCGAGATACGGTGAAATACTTCCTAACTTTGAATCGGTTTCCTGATCAAACTATGAGGACCATATTTTGGGGGACAAAAATCCAAATCCGCAGGAGGAAAAAAAAAAGAGTATATTTATTAAGAGAAAGTACGGTTTTGTGTTTTCGATCCAAAGTTAATAAGGGTGATCCGTTTTTTATTTTGTGCACTGTACATCTTCAATTTATTCTTGAGGTAATTAAAATTATCATGGCTTTTGAACTTACCAATAGCATCTTTTTAGTTATAGAAAGGCTTCGTAATAAGGAAGTCTGATTCATCACAGGAACTTTTTCCAACTCTTACCAGAATATATACAATGTATCTTTTTTTAAAAAAAACAAACAAAAAAATAAACATGCTATATTAAATTTTTATTTTTGTAGCCAATTTTAATTAATTTCTTTTTACCAGAAAGACAAATAGTTAAATCAAACCCATATCAGAATTTTTTTTATCTTTATTTGAAGTCAATTCAAAATAATTTTTTTCATCATGTTTAAATAAACGATGTAATTGTTGCCCAAAATGATATTGTCTGGATGATTTTCCTGACACGATTCTTCATCGATAGGTAATGATTGGTTGCCTCGAAATTATGACAATGGGGAACATTACCAACCATAGGTTTATTAGGATTCAGCATTTATTATTTTGTTCCAAATTTTTTTAAAAATTGGCAAAAAAAGAAGAAAATCTGATATCACGTGGGATAATTTAAAATTTTATGTAGCCAAAGACTATGTTGCATTGTAATTTGTTGCACAAAGATTATGTTGCGTTGCATAACTAATGAAAAATTAAGCATAAATACATTTCATTTAAGAAAATACACACTATATTCAGATTATTAAAATTTTAAATTCTCAGTTTGTTGTCTAATTACTATATTATTTCAGATATTCTAAGCAAATAAAATGAGATTCAAAATAAAATAGCAGAAAATTAACTTTCCAATTAAGCTATCCAATTTTTTTCTGTGATCGTTAAAGTAAAAATCCAACTATTTTTATTGTACTTAAGAGTTTAAAGTTTCTAAAACAGCCAGATTTATTTTTAATACCTACTAATAAACTTAGTAATAATAAACAGCATTAATAAACTTAAAAGGTATTTTTAAACAAGTAGAAGACTTTAAATTTATATTTAAAAAATGATGTAACAAAGACAATGTAAAATAACTATATTTTATTACAATATAAACTTCAAACTAAGTAACAAATGGTTTCAGGTTTTCTCTACATATTTTGAATATGAATATAATATGCCTCCAAACAAATTGAGGGTAATACCAAAGACATTTAAAGGATTAAATTTCACTCCACCAAATGTAAAAAACCCTATAACAGTTTGTAAAATACTTTTGATTACACCAACTAAGCTAGTTGTTAAAGCTGAGTTTTTAGCAGTGCATAAAAATAATGAGTAATTAAGTAGAACTCCCATGGAAGTCTGTATGCCCAGGCATAATAAAAATCCATAATCTGAAAAAAAATAAAATAAATCATGCAAGAACAAAGAAAGTCATTCATTATAAAAATATTTTAAAGATCAAAACTTTCAAATTTGATTCTCTTATTGTTAAAAAACTAATTATCTAATATGCATCTAGCAAAAATGGAATTAACCAAATAAGTAAAAGTTTAGCTTTAACTTTAAAATTACTAGAAACGACAATTAATGCAGAACAATTGAAAATTGTAAAATGCTATATAAACACATAATATACATAAATACAGTCGAACTCGTTTATAACGAGCTCGGATTTAACGAGAACTCGGATTTACCGAGGGAAACGAGAATATTTGGTTGGATGAATGTTAAGTCTATGGAACAGAAGTCGCTTTTAACGAGCAAAACCCGGTTTTAGCAAGCAATATTTTTCTGTCTTGCAATCCTTTTTTCAAAATGATAAGAAATGCGCGCGAAATAAAAAAAAACAGCGAACTGAAACTTCAAAGTAAGCTAACAAACTATTATTTTAAATATGTAGATTAATGAAAAAAATAAATGTTTTGGTAAGAATCTTTTCCTTTATTTTTCTTTCCGTTTATTGCTTCTTTCCTTTAAGACTGTAGCGCAACAAGAAATTTTTTGCTGGTTGGGGGGGGGGGAATAGTTGTCATTAAATTAAGAAAAGTATTTAATTAAAGTAAGTATTAATTAAATTTTATGTAAACTCAATAATTTGACCTCCCCCCTCTTCTGGTTGCACGCCTGCCTTAAGGACCGGTTTATTACGAGCACTCGGATTTAACGAGTACATGTTATGGTCCCTTTGTGCTCGTTATAAACGAGTTCGACTGTATATACATAAATATATATATAAATACAGGAATGAAGAAATAAATAACTTATGATAGCAACAGAAATATAAAATTGTAGAGATATATAACAAAGTATTATTAATTATAATCAGTCTTTTGAATTCTTAAATACTTGTTGCTTTGTGATTCCTCATTGTTTAATTGTTAAAAGTAGAAAAGAATACTGGATTACAAATTCAATATACAGAACAATATCTGCTCTTAGGAACAATATCTGCTATGGCACAGAACAATATCTGCTCTTAGGGACTTAGCTGATGGAAAATCCTGGGCTAGCCTTCTTGATGACCAGCAGCGCTCTCACCTTTCCCTCCTTCCCAGAGCTGAGGGAGTTGCTTGCCTTAGATTAATTACCGGACATGACTACTTGCAGGCCCATTTATTTAAAATTAACTTGGTCAATTCACCTCTTTGTGTGCTCCGTAACACTTCGCCTATGACTGGGGAGCATTTATTTGATTGCCCCTCTCTTCTTGACATTCGTTCCTCTGATGACTTTTGTGCCCTCTCACCTTCTGGAGCTACTTCAGTATTGTATTGGACTGCAAGACGCCTTATGTCTGAGAAGACAATGACGGGCGTAATTCAAAAAAACAAAAAACAAAAAAAAAAAATTCAATATGAGAGTTGTAAAAAAGAGACACAAAGCCAAGCTGGTATACATTTCAAATGTAAGCGAGTACTAGGAGTAATACTTAGAAATTCAATTCGTGGTGACTTTTGAAAATGTTATCTTTAGTGAGGTATTTTTTAAAAGAAATATCCTAAATGAATTATATAGAAATTTATATGTGAGTCATTTTTTACATAAAATAACCTGAAATAAACCAACTTGATAAAGGTAGTTCTTATAGATATTGATTATAAAATACAAGAATTGAAAATGTTAAAGATAAGTTTTAGCCGTACCTGTAAACTTTCCATATTTAAGGATTTCTACACTTTCTGAGAACAAACACAAAAATATGTAAAGAGGAACTGTATTATAGCTGTTTAAATATAAAATGTTTAAGGCAGTTGAATTTTCCAGATGTTTCTGTGACAATGTCAAATATAATGCTTGCACAAGAACACTAAAAGTACCATAGGCATATGCTTGCAAGTCAAATTGTAAATCTCCTAGACCTAAAACAAATAAAGGAAATAAAATAATTATAACGATTAACTATAATTATGGAATAAATCTTTCAACTAAAAAAAAAGGTGAAATGAAAAGGTAGGGAAGGAGGCAAGAGTTATGAATAATTCAAGCTGAAATGAAACAGCTTAAAAAAAAAATTGATTCTTTTGGGGGAAAACTATCAATAAAACTTTTTTTGATAGCCATAATAAAAATTACAAAAATATCTCAGAACATCTTCATCCCAGCTAACTATCAATAGGATGGCTCGGAGAAGCAAACTGAGGATGAGCGAAACAATTGAGTCCTAAGAGGCCATTGCTATTTTTTAATGTTTCAAAAATTCAGAGGCAATAACAAAATTTACTCTTAATTTCATACTTTGAAAACTATTAATTCAAAGGTAGTAAGAGAAACAATAGTTTATCAATTATTCAATTTAAAGTTAAAAACATGCACTATACAAACTTTATAATAAGCTATAATAAAAGAAAAATAAGAGATGCTGCTTTTACTTAAAATATTATTATGAAACTTGTAATATTAATAAGAAATAAATAAAATCCAATGAAATAGTTAGTAGAACAAAATATGCAGCAATTTTTTAAATTACATAATTATGAAGAAATTTATTAAATCTTATTAGTAAGTAGTTGATAACTGATTTATTTTCAAGAAAAAAATGTGAGATATTTTTTTTATCAATCATTAATAAATATATCTTACACAGAAATGAGTCATTTATTTTTTACTAAACTAAACTAAACTAAACTCAGTGGCACTACAGCCCATAGAGGGCCAAGGCCTACTGTGCCCTTCTCAGTTTTTTTGACCTTGGGCACCGGGGTGCAGGAGCAGATGTTCCGGCCCGTTGGTCAGCCAAACGCGGAACCCCGAGTGTTTAGTTCCCAAGTTTGCTTGATACTCATTTATCGACCCACTGAAGGGATGAAAGGCTGAGTCAACCACGCCCGGCCCGAGGATCGAACCCAGGACGTGTGGCACGGGAGCGCAAAGCGCAGCCATTTATTTTTGCAATGAACATATTTATCCATTTAGCTGCAATATTGATAGACTAGATATAATACTTATGAGTATTACATCATCATCATATTCGTATAAAATAATTCATATTAATAAGTCAATTGCTACATTGTTGATAGACAAAGAAAATAAACAAAAAATATAAGAAAAATTATTATTCCTTTAATTTTACTTTTTAAGTAAATTAAGTTGCTAAAACATGAAATTAATATTTGAATTTGAAATCAATCCAAAAGTCTACTTTTAATTTAATTTAACAAAAATAACTAACTTTTCAAAATATAATTAGTAATACATACCAGCTAAAATACACCCAACTGATATTAGAAAAACAGAAGTTACAATTCTATAGCTTGGGAGGTGTTTCTTTAATATTATCACAGATAAAATAAGTGTTATTATTGGGGCACATCTTTTTACAGCAGCATACATTGGAATAGACATTCCACTCAGGGCATATAGAGCAGTGACTGAGTGCAGGGCATAAAAAAAAGCAGGCCAGGCAAATGACAAACCTGAAATAAATAATATAGAAGTAATTTAACTCAATTACTTATGTTAAAATATAATTTTAGCAGAAGTTTTTAAAAGCAATAGTAAGAGATGAAAAATTAAATTAAATAATGATACATTAAATATTGTCTGAATTTCGATTAACTGTATTAATAAGATTAAACATTTCAATGTACAACTAAATAAAATGTAAACTAATTATTGTTGTAAATAATTACCAGAACTTAAAGTTTTTAGTTTAAAAAAAGGACAAATAGCTTTAAAAATAAATACATAGTAAAATGTAAAAAATAATAAAGATATGGAAGAACATGTAAATTAAAATAATAATTTCTTTGTTCTATAAAAAAACATAACATATAAAAAACAGTCAAGTTTAATTTAATCCAATCAAAAATGGAAAACAGATATTGTGCATATTTTTATAAATCAACAAAATATTCATTAGTCTTCACATTTGCAGTAATTCATATAATTTGCTTTTGTTAAGTCTAAAACTATAGATTAAAAGTTACTTTACAAAGGATATTTTTATATTTTATTGATACAATATATAAATAAATTAAATAAAATTTCTAAAAGTGCAACAGTAATCTTTGTCAGAGTAAATCAGTTTCATTATACTGATAAAAACATTAATAACAAAATAATTCTAATACATCTTACCTCTATTATAATGATAATAGTTTAGTAGCAATAGTAGGTAATGGTTAATACTTTAGTGGACAATTAAAGTAAAATGATGTTTCAATTGGCTCATATTAGAATTTAAAATTGCTATTTAATAGAAAAAAAATTGGAAAATATTGATTCTATTGCTGTAGAAAATAGGTAAAAAAATGAAAGGAAGACAAATAAAAATATAACATATTTAAAAAAAAATTTTTTTTCTTCCTCATTTGTTATTTTCTATTTTATATATTGTTTTTTATTTTCCTACTTTAAATAAAATTTCTTAAAATACGATGAAAACTGTCTATGACAATAAATCTGCCTCATTAATAACAATACTTAGGTCATATTTGAATGTATTTTTATCATTCAAGTTTTTTTTTTTTATTTATTTTTTTAAACCTGTAAATATTAATATTTATTTTTCAGATGAACCCATCTATAACAATATTGTTATAATTGAAAGCCTGAAGAGAAGCAAAAGTTATTTTCAAGACACAATAACTGTATTAGAAAATGCAGATGTCTTAAACATCAACAACATCCTATTTTTTAATGAATGAGATTAGAAAGGAAAAAACAAGGCTTGAGTTGTTCGCTGAGTGATCATTATACAAATGATGATTGAAGGGGGAGAACCAGCAATTGCGCTTAAGATTTCTGAAATTGGCCATTTCTGTTAGCTTATCTGTACTACAATAGCCATTTATTATCTTCTTTCATGAAGCTAATTTTTTATGCATTAAAACTTTTAAATGTATTTAAGAAAGGAGTAAGACATTGTTATTTGAAGAAATAATAGTTCACAAAGTCATATTGTGCACTTTAGAGGATCAAAAAATTTCTAGAAAAGTAATTATAAATTATCGATAAATAATTAGTAAAAAAGATTACTAAATACAATAATTATATTAATTATGTTCATATAGCATGTGCACATTATGCATGCATAAACATTAAAGAAATTATTATACTGTTTGTAATAATTACAAGCAGTTTAAGCCTTTAACTACTTTTAAGCCATAAAAGTAGTTTACTGTACTAATTAAAGACATAATCAAAGTCAATATTACATAACCAAACAAGGTTAATAATAACACACAACAATGCTACATAAAATAAGGTTTGAAAAATAAATCGTGATTTTTTTTATTTATTTAAATCAGATTTTTTAAAATATAATTCAGATTATTTTGATTCTTATTAGATGACTAGTTCATTTTTAAAAATATTTAATATTTTACAGACTTAAAACGTGCAATTTAAATGTAAAATAATAAATATAAAAGAATAAATTTTAAAAATGTTAAAAAGTACAGAAAAATATTAAATGTATTTGAAACGTTTGAGTAAAGTTTTACAATGTTACATACATAATCTAAAGAGCAGTTCAGATAATAGAATGATGGTAAAAACAAATGTAAAGAATAGTTTTGATGATACCGAAAAAGAATACATGTGTAGGTAGGTATCCTAATACTGCTGAACAGTGGCGTACGCAAGGGAGGGGTTTAGGGGTTTAAACACCCCCCCTTGAGCTCAGACAAAATGGCAAAAATAGAAATTTTAGTAGAAATTATGCGAGCTATTATTTTTTAAGACAATATATTTTTATCTGCCTTATGCCTACTTTTTTTTCTCACGGTATTTCTCAGAATACTGAAAAAACATTTACTATAATAGGGTTGTACTTTTGAAACCAAATTCACGTGATACTGTTACGGACTGGTTCTTTTCTGTCCTGCCAGTATAGTTTTCGAGACTGGCTGTCATTCGCGAGATCTTTACGCGATGATTCTGTAATCCTAGACGTGCTGTTGTCTTTGAGACAATTCGAGAATTTTGGAGATGCGGTGAAAAATTATATAAAAGGGGAACCGGAGTACAGTGGATGATGTAATATCAAATAATTAGGGGCCCCCTTAAAATGGATTTTTTTGAAAATAAATTTTAAAAAATTAAGAAAAACAATGATTGTTTTTAAAAAAATCAATTTTAAATATATATTAAAATTTTTTCAAAATGTTATGATTAAAATTTAGTTCTAATTTAACAAAATAAAGTAAAATTCAATTTATTATTATTTATTTTAATTTTAAACATGCTTTCTGAAATGAAAAGATATATAAATACTTTTATATTTGAATAAATAAAAAATATACGAGAAAAACAACTTAATCGAAGGGCCCCAAAAATTTGAATGGCCTAGGTCCCCGCGTACGCGCCGGCCCTGAGCATAGCATTTATTTCTGTGCCAATATATATATTTACTGTTCTTGGATCTTTAGGATGTCAAAACGTAAGAATTTAACAATTTTTAATTATTTTGAGAAAAAATCACGACCTGAAATTAGTGAGGTGACAGCATCTAGTATCAATGTAAGTTTTTCTGTTGTACAGAAATGTGATACTTTCGTTGAAGAAAACGTTTCTAGCATAACAAAATCTGATGAATGTGAAAGTGGCCCTCAAAGTGTTACTTCCCACCCATATGACATTGGACTTTTTTCAGAAGATATTACATTATGTTCTTAAACTTAAAAAATCAAATCAAAATTTAACCAAACAATGTTGTCTAAATAAAAAGTCAAAATTGTTTAGCTGTCTAAATTAGGGAAATAATAGTGCTTTATTACAGACTCGAATTTCTTTTAGTAGTTTCAGAAAATTATGAACACCCCCTTGAAAAAATTCTGCGTACGCCACTGCTGCTGAATACAAGAAATTTGAAAATGGACGGTATATTTCTACACTAGGGTGAGCTGCAAGCTCTTTACTGCCTATGCTTCCAGGTAACTGTCTTTGGTGTGTTTTGAAGCCATTTGGCTCGCAACTTGATCATTGTGTTTTGAGACTTTCTTGAGTAGCATTTATTGTATTTGTCACATGATTTATTATTTGTGTTTAAAATAATCGTCATTTAAAGACCTGTCATTTCAAGACTTAAGAATTGTCATTTGAAAATAATAATAATAACAATCATCATCATAAGACACTTCTAAATTTTTTAACACTATACCAACTTCAAAATTTATACCTTAATGATTATTTGCAAAATGAACTTAATCTCGCTGCTCAAATAATATGCTAATACTAACGTATGATGGTTCTTTTCTTGCACCAAGAACAAACGGTAATAAACAAGTGAAAAGAGGCCAAATCGAAACTGTCAAAAAAAAAAAAAAAGTTCTTTCTCAATCTAGCAACTATGTCACCTTTTTTTAACAATACATCTTAAAATAACTAAAAAATTTTTTCACTTCACTTCAAACTCACCAGAATTACTTAATATCATTAATATTTTATGAAATACGTCAGATTTGAGCTCAGAAATTATATAATTTATTTCTTTTACTAAAAACAAAATTATCTGTTTGAAAATATAGCAGTGCAGAATAAGCAGTAGTAAGCAACTGTATACTTCCTAACCAGAAATAGAGCAGATCAAGAGCTTGAGATTGTCATTGTTTACATTTATATTGAAAACACCATCCATAGCTTTTCCTTTCTCCAAGAATACATAAACTTATAGACACAAATTTTATTTTAAGGAGATAAGTAGGTTTAAGTTGTATTAAATTTAACACAAGATTTAAGGCTAGTTATATATTATCAGAATAATAGAATTACAGAACTATGGCATTAGTATTATCCTGATTTAAATTGCGAACCATGTAATAAATAAAAAAATAATTAATTAAGTTTTGACTTAATGCAAAAAATTATTAGTAGACAAATAAAATGAAGTACTAAAATGTCTGTATCACTATAGTTGTAATTTATGTATTAGAAAAAAACAATCAATCAAAAAATCATATCAGTAGCATATCAAATACTGTCCTTATTACTAAAAGACATTTTATCATTTCCAACTATACTACTTGTGCCTTCACACATTTTTTAACACTGCAGCATTAATATATCTATTACTCCTTGAGCAATATGTTCATCCCATGTTTATTAAATTTTTTCAAGAAAACTTAGACAGTTAAAATTACTAAAGCCTTGTATTTGAACCATTTAAAGCCATTGATACAAGAAACAAAGCAAAAATCACTTGTTGTGTAAAAATATTAACAGTTAAAATGAAACAGAAGAAAACAAACCTAATTTTAGAGAATATTTTGGAATATTTGTTACTCTAAAACTTTTCAAGCTTTCAAGAAAAATGATAGTTAAAATCATTTGGCATGCCATGATGAAAAATGGAAAATTAAATTTGTAAACACTGATGACAGTTTTGTTTGCAAAAGCCATGGAGAAGGAACACAAGCCATATAAAACTGCTGAACTGATGCTACCAAATTTGCTCGGAGGTTTCTGAAAGAAACAAAATATTTATAATGATTAATAAATTTATCCGTAATACCTTTGCAAAATTTTTAATAATTTTATCTCTTAATCTTCTTATTTATAATACTTTTGCAAAAGAATAAATTTAGGAATTTTTTTAAATTAACTATCTTTAATCCATATTTATATACATAAAAAATTTATGATAAAATATATTAAAACAAACAGAAGCTAAAAATTTTTTAACACTTCAAATTACGGATTAACCCTTTGGTGCAGATAGGACAGCAGTGTGTCTCTTATATATGCATTTTTTTCTTTAGCTATAATCATTAGGTAATAATTAGGTCTAATACATTTTGGTATTTTTTAATTATAAAAAACAGTCTAATAGTTACTAAAAAAATTTATTGGATTCTCAGAATTACATTTGCTTTAAAATATAAAAAAAAAAAGCATTTAAAAAATGTATTTTTTTTCCATTTATATTTATTTATCAATAATTTAATTTATCAATAATTGATTTTGTAAATTATAGAAATTCCAATGAAGAATTACTTTTTCTTTTAGATTTAAATAACTGCAAATTTGAAAAATTATTGTTTGGAAGTAAGTCATGCTTAGAAATTTTACCTTTACATCAAAAAAGAGACGGTGGTGCCTGATGTTTTATTTCGGAACCGGACAGTGCTAAATGAAATATTTTTCACTTATTTTGGCAAAATGAAAACAAAATGAAAATGAAAAATATGTTTAATGAAAATTTTGCCTCAAAGGGTTAAATAAACATGCAGGTATATCTAGCTTATATAAAAATCCTGAATTATTCTTGCAAACCAGTAATAGTATGTAATTTTATCGTTAATCAAAAATAATAATAATAATTAGGTGAACAAGAAAACCGAAATTATCGCACAAATCACTATAAGCTTTACGCCTTTTAGTCATTTCTAAAAATTAATACATCTAAAATAGCGTAAATATTTCTTGTAATTAATCTCACTATCAATTTCACTGTTTTCTTTGCTGGTTTGTTGTAGTATTGTTGACGTGAAGTGTTTACACAGTTATCGATCGAACTAATCATAATGGTATTATCGATATCAACTGCAATATCGGCAGTATGTCGGTATTGCAGATAAAGTTCGATAAACAAATTTGTAAATTAAAATCTATATTAATAAAAATGTTAAAAAATATATGCAAGAAAATTTTAGTATATATTTTGAAAGGAGGGAGGGCCCAAAAACGGCTATGCCTAGGGCCTACGAAAGGTATAATCCGGCTCTGACTATATTGAAAATTTTTTTTACAACATTTAAGCCAAAATTCTGTTGAAATGTAAAAGCTGTAATTGATTCTTAACAAGATAATATATATTTCTAGTATATTTCATATGTATATGTATAAAATTTATATAGAAAATACGCAGAATAGTTAATTTAAATGTATAATACAGTGAATATATATATTAATACAGTGAATATATATATTAATACAGTAAATATCTTAGAATGTATAACAAATAATAACATTAAGAAAATGTTCATCAAAACAAGAAAATATCTTTAAAATTTAGAAAACAAAGAACTCCAGTTATCAGGATATTTTGTTTAATCATACAAATGCAATAAAAATAACATTCGAAAATTTTACTGTCATTTCATTGTACAACTTTGAATGAATGTAATTAAATGTTTTGATGTTTAGTTCTTTTTTTAAGTGACAGGTAAAGGAGTTCAGTATCCAATAAGATTTGTTCAAGTTTATGAGTACCTGATTTGTAAATTAAAATTTAGAATTCGCTGAAAAATAGTGGCAGGAAAAATAAATGACAGGAAAAATAAAACAACATAAAAGATTTCAAAAGGATAAATTGATTTTTGTCAAAGATACATTTGTCAAAAAACAAAAGTTCGAGAAGAATACATTTAAGTTATGATAATGTATATAAAATTTTTATATTCTTTTAAAATAAAAAGTTATTTTTACTCCCTTGTCAACTAATAAAAATCTTTTAGATAATTGTTTTGCATGCTATAGTTGGCCATGAGAAAAATGACTATTTTTAAATTAAACAGCATTATTTAGAACATTTTAAGTTACTGTAACAAATTGCAATTTTATTTAATTAAAACAAATAGTAAACTCATTTAATCAAAGCAATAAGAAAAGAAAATGCTTACTTTTTTGGTGGTGTGAAGCTCATACCCATTTATATCTAGACTCACAAAATCTTTTTCATGTTTTTTCATGCTAAAAAAAAAGCTACAAAACGTTTAATACAAGATAAAGAGAACTTTTCTTACATTTTAAAAAATTTCTATGTATCATAATAACTATTTATAGAAATTAAAAAAAAAAAAAAAAACAGTCAACATTGAAAAAGATTATAAAAAAAAAAGGTCAAGAAAACAACATTTTAAGTTTTGGTCTTGATTCAATTTCAACTTTTTATAATTTATAACGTTTTTTTCCCTCAATTTCTATACTCTATTAAGTTATTCTTATCTAATATTATATATATATATATATATATATTGGCAAAACACATTGTTATGAAAAGAGCATCATTACACAAGCTTTATATTTTTGATTTCTTAAGAAATAGAAGATAAAATCCTAAATGGTAGCTTATAACTTAGTAAATAGCTTAGTAGTAGCTTATAGCTTAGAATTTAAGAACACTTATTCTAAAATCAATTTGTTAACTTCTCTTCAATTAATGCTTTGTGGGTAGTTCAAACGATCTTTTAAAAACCCATGAATTTTATTTTAAAGGATTTCTTTTTCCCCCAAGATGAAAGTTTTTTACATGAATGAATTTTTATAAGTCTATACATGAAAAAATTGAGAGATTTACCTGTAGGAGAGAGTTGGGTAAAACCTAGCAAAGTTGATAAAACAAAGACTCTGCACTATTGACAAAACAATTGATACAATTAATCAGAAATCTCATGAATCTAGTTGATACATACCATATATTTGGTCATGAATAAAAAATAGAATAAGATATTCTATTTTTTATATTCTAATTTGATACTACCTTTTTTAAAAGTTATTATTACCAAATTAATTTAGTTCAGCAATTTCAAATTGTTTGAAGATATACTTTAGGTAAGTTTAAGAACTGATTATGCCCCTATTTAGTTATTGTTTTAAAATATTAAAACAGCTTTTACATTTTGTTTAAAATATGCTAGCCCTTTAATTCTGTTAAATGAGATTGCTGGATATAAACTATCAGACACAATCAGGTACGTGATTTTATCGGACTTAGAAAATTTGCTTTTGACTTTTGAAAAAAATCTTATTATACAAATTAAAAAACTAGATAAACCAGAAATTGTTATGTATGAAATAATGATGCTCTTGTGAGCTTATTTAATGGAATGCAAGTTTGATCACTTGCTTACGCAAGGAAAAAGAATTTGAAATTAATATTAATGTTTAAAAATTTGATAAAAATGACAAAATTTGAAAACACTTCAGATTTGATCATAATTAGTTTTTGAATTTTTCAAAACGTCTAAATACGAAAAAAAAAAAAAAAACAGATAAAAATCTCTATGACACTGAAAAATCAGTAACAAAGAGGAATAAAATGCTTAATAAGTTAAGCACAAATCACACCATACTCTTTATGCTTTAACCGATGATAGATCACTTTAACCATGAATTAGTCTTGATTATAAAAAAATTATGGGATACCATTTAAGCATTAAGAAAATAGCAGCAGACGTTGTGAAAAAAGAAAAAAATATAACAATTTGCCTACACTTGATACAACACTGTTATTCTCCGGGAATCTCCAATATTCTACGTAAAAAAATTCAGAACAAAATCATGTGAAGGACACTTCCACAAACTGATGGTAAATGTTAAGAAAATATTTGAAATGTAGGAAAAGGTTAATAAAAATGAAATAAAGAGAAAAACAAAGAAACACCAAACAATTTTAATAACAAATCATTCCAAAATAATGCTTAAAAAATAAATTTTTTTTTCTTCATATTTTCACTTAAAACTTGTTGCTGATGAATGACAAAGATTTATAACTTAATATTCAGGAATGTAGTTGGGAGTTCAGAAACACCCCATCTAGACTTTTTTCTTTTTTAAGATTCAAAAGTATTATTTTCAAATATGTATGGTCAGAAATTTCCTAAAAAATATTTAAACCTCACAAATATTGTTAGGTATCTACTGTATGAAAAATAAATTATTCTATAGTCCTATTTTCTATTTGTGAAAAATTTTAATACAAGTATAAGGTTTGTACAAAGAAATTTTTCAATAAAAAAAGTACGAAAATAGATTATGTATACAATTGAAACATATTAAAAAAAGAGAAGCTATTTAGAAAGAGAAGCTACTAATACTTACATGGAAGATCCACCCACTATTATCAGTTTTATGGGATTTTATATCAGTAAGGTGAGATCTTTAAGACATTCAAAAACAATCATACTGAATAAAAAAATTTTTTTTTCAAAATAAGAAAGAATTACATCAAGTTTGTTGCAAATCGAATACACGATCCTAGAGCTTTTATTTAAGTTCCTTGAAAACCATAAGATATTAATAATTATTATATAAATTTAATAAAACGGAAAAATTATAGCATGAAAAATGAATTCCTGGTTAAACTCTATTTAGAAAATCATACAAATTAACTAATGAGAGGAAACTAATATTCACTACTTCACACGAAAAATAAAACTGATTTTCGACTGAAACAAAAACTTTGTAAAATAACCTGAGACTCAAAAAAATTCAAGAAACGGCAGCTGCTACTTTCAATTGATTGATTGATATAAACATGAGAAAAGCTTCCACAGATTTGATACTGTGCTTCTGGCTTGTATCTGACTAGTATTTTCACCAATAGGACATTAAAAGTTACATTCATACTAATCTATATAAAAACGCATAATTTTTGAGTTGGAGCGCAGCTTCTGAAAACGAAAAGAATGCGTTTGTATAGTTTTATTCCAGCAATTCTGACAATCTTAATAGTAAAGTGTGTTCAGTTCTAAGTACTGATGCATAGAATGGTGTTAAAGTCTTTAGGGCCATACAAACTGAATAAGATTTTTTCGCATGTAATATCCAGTGAGAATGCTCTTTTAGTTCTCGATGGATAGGTCTCTGATCAAAATCAATTTCTCTGATCTTAATTTTGTCTTGCAGTGGACTGATCGTTAAGACTCGGCTCCCAGCAGATCACAGAAGTCAAGCATCATTGGCTGCGGTCAGTGTGCGGTTGGGTGACCACTTTCATCAGTCTGCGTAGGGACCGAGGGTGTGCGGTATTGGTCCTCGTTAAAACTGTTCTACCGTAAAGTGCTCGACTTCGCGTGCAGGTCGTCGGGCTATGGAAGCGGGGGTGCCATCCCCGCTGCAGAGGATCAAAATTGTGATGGCATGTCTTCGGATCATCCTCAGGAATGTTTCCCAGACCGTCGCCAATAGCCCATTGTGCAGCTCTAGTGTGACGTATATGAACTACAATAAATGACTGATCTTAATTTTAACAAGAGGCTAGGAAGAGGACGATTCCATTGTTAAAAGCTTGGCGTGAGGACAGAAAAGTAAAAAGAGGAAATGAGGGAAATAACACGAAGATACATTGGAGATTTTTTATTATTTGCCTTTTTTATGCATTTTCTGCGTTTTAAAGGTTATATTTTAATGTATCTATTAAATTTTTTTATTAAAATTATTTTAGATAGCAAATGATAGCACGTAAAATTTGTAAAAGGGATCTAGTCGACCCCATCTGCGTTAATGTTGCTCTTTAGCTGTTTAATAATGATGTCTAAAGTGACAGATTTATAAGCCATGATTTGAGGACAAATCAGAGGAGCGTCCAAGAAAATCATGAAACGTGATTCCATTACTAAGCAGTTTTGAAATGACATATAATATTCCGCGTTTGAACACATGTAAAATAAATAAATACATGATTATAAAAATTTGTTAATGAAATTATTTAAAAATGAACAGGCAGTTTTAGCGTAGTGCTTTTTAGTGTTTCGTTTGCATTCTCTGCGAGACAAAATTATCTCTTTTTTCATTAAAAAAACATGCGTATTTTTGATTTTTTAAAAATATTTTTCTGCATATAAAAAATAGATTGCAATTGTTCTGAGAAATTATCATTGTATCGTATAAACAGGTCTTTAGTACCAGCTACGGCGCATTGTATTGGCCATCGAAATGGGCTATAGATGACGAAGAGCAAAACTCTCTACCTATGGCAACATTTCACATGCTTTTAAAATTAGCGTGTGAACAGTCATAGGAAAAGGAAGTAAATCAGTTTCTCTCTTGATTTTCAAATAGATTAAAAACTTTAAGGTTAGGAAACTATGTGGAACTGAAAACTGGAATGAACATAGTTCTAAAAGAAAGCATCGTGGAAATTTTAAAATTATTTGCGATAATAAAATACGAAAAATATTAAGAAAAGAAAAAATATCGTAGTACATTCCTGTATAATAGGATCAAATATAGTAAAGTTAAATTATTGCTATCTTATAGATTAGTATTCTGACCAATAAATAGACAGCAGCTAGATCTTTTCTCTAACATACAATTGAAACTAATTGATTAAAAACTTTCTTTAAAAAATATACATTGGAAATAACAGTCGACATGTTTCAAGCGTTTAAAAATAGGAGCCCATTTTCAAGACTGGCCAGATGTGAATGAGAAGAAACAAAAATGATTTAAAAAAAAAAGAATCACTTTTGTTTTCAAATCACTTTTGCCTCTTCTTATTCACACCTGACAAGTCTTAAAAATGGACGTCTATTTTTGAACGCTTGAAACGTGTCAACTGTTGCTCCCAATTCGTATATTATTCGTATAGTAAAGTTAAAATATACATTGGAAATAACAGTTGACACGTTTCAAGCGTTTAAAAATAGGAGCCCATTTTCAAGACTGGCCAGGTGTGAATGAGAAGAAACAAAAATGATTTAAAGAAAGAATCACTTTTGCTTCTTTTCATTCACACCTGACAAGTCTTGTAAATAGACGTCTATTTTTGAACGCTTGAAACGTGTCAACTGTTGTTTCCAATTCGTATATTATTTTTATTCGTATATTTGATGCTAATGAGGTTTTCAATCAAGTGATATCTTACCACTTCAGTTTTTTTGGGATTATTTATTTAATAAAACTGAAATATTTTCGCAGAGAAATTTTCATTTATAATATTCATTTTTAATTCAATTAGAATACGTTAAGATAGATTACGAAATTTAAAAAAAAAATGTAAACAATAGGTTTACGGTTAGAAAAAAGCGGGCACTTCCATGCAACATGGAATAAATAAATAAATACATTTCTATTGCATATTATAAATATAATCTAAGTGATTTTCATGATTTATCAGATTTCATGATTATATTTCAGTGATTTATATAAGTGATAGACAACCCAAGGAAAGGGTGGAAGGACGAAGTTATTGACGACTTGGAAATAATGACGATGGAGGGAGAAGTCAAAACTGAGGGCTGTATGGAATAGATTTGTGGAACAAGCCAGGGCCCACAAAGGGCTGTAGAGCTATAGAAGAAGAAGAAAAATGGAAATAAGAAATGATTTTGAAATCATTTGTTCCGAGTGAGTGATTGCTTAGCAATAATTTACTAAAGCAAAAATGATCAAACAAAGTTTGCGTTCTACATTTTGAATGTATTATTAGCATCTGGAAATTTTTATAAAATATTACAATTACTTTGGAGCGATAAATTATACGTTTATGGAATTTAAGTAAAATACGTCTATATAAAAGTATACATACTTCTAACTTTCTAAAGCTATAAACCCTATAATGGTAAAAATAAAATGTGAAGTAAACCAATGCTTTCTTTAAAAATTTAATTTGTAATTAATTAAATATATCAGATTCAAAAATGATCTACAAATGAGAATTATTAATATTTCTATTTAAAAAGAATTTAAATTTGAGTAATCAATCAAATAATAATCAGTCAATAAAATAATAATTAATCTATTATTTATTAATTATTAATTTAAAGTAAAAATAATTAAATTCAATTAATTATCTTACTTTTTACATTCATTTCATTTTGTTTTCATCCAGGTCGATTCTTTTATAATCAAGCTGCTTTTTTGTTGTATTTTTTTTTTATTATCGAGGAATGCTCTGGACAACAAAACCACGAGCTCCTACCTACTTGAAATGTACTTAAAAATTAAGTAATACTTTTATAAAACCAATACGAGCCTTGATTTATCGAAACATTGACGAGATAGACGAAGCATTTTTTTGTCAGTTGAACGAAGACATGAAATGTGACAATGAACTAGGATCAAAATTCAAAACAAGTGTTTAACAAGTGTACGTTTTGCTCCATACGAAGGAAAGAATGGGTGTTTCAATCAATAAACTTTGTCACAGACTGCGGAAAAGGGAAACATTCCATAAAGGAAACTGGAAAAAAAAAATAGAATAATAATTTTGTTTATTAGGTCGGTTTAAAAATATAATATGCGATTTATGAATGAACTTCCTAGGGAAGAGGAATGTCAGCACACAAAGGGATGAATAATAGAAAAATATCGAAATAAATTGGTGTTGAGTAAGCCTGATGGAGGGAAAGATGACAGTAAAAATTACTGTAAAAATATTTTATAATAATATACATTTTCATGAAGAGAATTTTCATAGTTTAAAAGGTATTTTTAAATTAGTTTTAGTTTTATAAAAAAACTATTTGATAATAATTAGTTTATAATAATTTTTTCTAAGTAATTGTTTTCGTTTTCAAAATTTTGTGAGTGAAATTTTGGTGATTAAAATGGAATTAACTGTAATATAGTCAAAAATCCATTTTTCAAAAAAAAAACCCCTTTAACCTAGTAACCTAGTAAAACCTTTCGGAAATCTGTTAATTACATAATAGCACAATATGCAAAAGAAAATGTTAATATCATGTATACATAGACTTATAATTTTAGTTTTATTTTGAATTTAATTAAAGCATGTAGTTTAATTTTTAAATTCAATAAATGTAAGGAAATTGCTTAATGTTATTCAAAACCTAAAATATTTGGGCTTTAAAAAGTTAATTTGTTTTTAAATTAAAATAAGTGAAACTTTTATTCAACTTGTATATCATTAGGTTATAAAAAATATGTCAACGTTTCGTAGTGAATTACACATTTGGATATAAATAAATAAATGGAGACCATAGCATCGATTTCTTAATTTAATTTTGTGACTCGTAAACTTCTACTCATTAGCATACTAAATATATACGGCAGGCACTGAACTTATCGTTCTTCGCCATGGAAGGTACCGGAAGTTTGCTCATTTTGCATTGCCTGATCAGCACCTTGTGACCAAAGTCACGGAGGCGAACAACCTTTTTCATAGTTTAAAAGGTAGTTTTAAATTAGTTCTAGTTCTTATAGAAAACTATTTGATAACAGTTCATGTTTAACAGTTTTAAGGGACCACTTAAGAATGAAAAATTAAAAAAGGAAAAGTTTTTCGAATGATCTTTAAGAAAAAGAACATTTATTATATTATGATACACACTTGAATTAACATTTTGCTGAAATAAAACTTTTCTTAAAATATCTTTTAATTTAGCAGTATTATTTATCTTTATTTTACTATGTTGACTTATTCGAATAAAATTTTTTTTATAAAAGTATTTCAGGTACTAGATATAAGTGCATTGTGAAATATTTTTTTCCTTAAGAATTGTGAGGCATGAACAGCATGGACGTTAACTCAAGACTGAACTTTATGCATAACAATGAAAGAGATTTTTCT